ATATGATTTTATGCATTAATAGTGTTATTCTTCTATCTTGTCAATGCTGTTTCAAATTGATTTATGAACACGGCCGTAGTTTTTTATTATTTATTTATTGAATTTCAGGATTGAGGATGTGTTTTCTCGTTATATTAACCTCCCCGATCAAGAAAGAGAACAGTATGCTCCATAAATATTTTTCTAAATTAGTTTTTTTTTTCCTTTTCTTGATTGAATTCTTGTTAATTTAATAAAACTTTGATAATGATTTGTTGCAGTGCTTTGATTTTTCCTGACCAAGGCAGACACCCGTATGCTCTTAAACCCTATATTCTCATAATTAACTTTATTTATTTAATTACTTTTCATGAAGCTGTAATAATTTCTTTGTTTGGTATTTTTGTTGAATTTTATTGCAGTGATATTCAAAACAAAGAGGTAAGAGCCATCTCTTCATTTAATTTTACCATCTTTTAATATCTGTTTATCATTTGAAAATAAAAAAGGCAACAAAGCAAGTAAAATTATGTTGGATTGAATGATGCAGTATCTGCTAAGGGCCCTGCAGCAACTAAGGAGTGAAAATGACATTGCTCTTCAACTAGCCAAGTTTGTTTCTGTCTTTATCCCTTTTGAGGTAGTTCAATTCAAGTTGAATGATCCAATAAACTGGTTTTGATATTTTCTTCATTTGTGTTTTGTTTCTCGATCCTCTCTGATGCTATAAAAAAGTCCTGCAGCTATCAACAATGACATTGAGGTAAAATCAAAACCAATAACATTAAACTACTGTTTCAATGACCGTCTCTTTTCAAAATGTGAGTTGATTTGGCAATCGTTTTCTCTTACAGGAACTCCAACAAGAAGTTGGCAGGTTACAGCAACAACTTCAAATGGCTGAGGAGCAAATCAGGTTTGATTAGAATGAACAAACATTTGTTTTTTCTGTGGTATATTAACTAAATGAACTTACTGACTCTCTCTCTGTGTGGAAGCAGGACATATGAACCTGACCCTTTAAGGATAACTTCTATGAAAGATATGGAATCATGCGAGAAAAAACTGGTTGACACTCTAACACGAGTAGTGCAAAGAAAGGTATAAATTGACTTCAATTTTTTCTTCCCTTTGTAATTGTAACTTTCTCTAATTTTAACTCTTTTGGGGTTGCAGGATTCTCTTTTGAGTAACCATCTATCTTCTTACGACCCATCTAGTATGCAGGTAAATATATGAAAATCTGAATTTAACAAATTGAGTATCTTTGCCGTATATTATAATATTGTATTTTGACAGCAATGTCAGCAAGCGATGCCAACCTCTTTTGAGAATGAAGTTGTGGGCTGGTTGCCTGATGGTGGTCATAATCAAGCCCAAATGTTCGACACATCA